CAGGTGTCAAATACAACCAGCAGATCCTGTGTGACACCATCGCCTCTGCCAAGGGTGGTGCTGGACGTCACGTGATCAGTCCAGTTCAGCTGGAGCCCAGCCACACACTCCTGGAGACCCACAACCCGAAGCAGGTCAGAGTTTGTCGCCCGTTCCTAAATGCATCTCCCTGTGAGTCCCCCTGCTGAGACAAGTGTTGTCTTTGGTTGTCTTGTAGCTGTCCAGTGGCGGTCCACTGCCCCCCGTAAGCACTCTGACCTCCCTACACAACCTGTCCTGCTCCACCGCGTCCTCACAGGGGCTCATCATGGCGTCCCTGCCCAGTGTAATGAGTCTGGGGGAGTCTTCGCTGCTGATTGGTAACCTGGTCTCCACAGGTTTTTCAAAAATGACAGCGTTCGTGTATATGCAGATGATGTGCCGTTGTTGTCCTACAGGTCTGGCCTCCACGCAGCCACAGACGGTCATAAACAACGTAGGGGCCAGCTTCACCACGCTTCAGCCGATCTCGTTTCAGCAGCAACTTCACGGGTCTCCGCAGCAGCCAATCACGCAGCAACTTCAGAGTCACATGGGAGCCAATCCCTTCATGGCCACCATGACGCAGCTGCCGTGTCACAGTAAGACAACGGATGCGTGACCACATTTTGTCGGGTATCAGGTCCAGACACGACTCACGTACCATTCGTCCTTCTTCTCAGTGTACGGCAAGTCGGACTCGCCCCAGTACCATCCGTCCAGTCTGCTGTCCCAGGCCATGGTCATCACAGATAGCAGCAGCTTGGGGACGCTGACCAGCCTCACTGCCGTCAGACAGGTAGGGTGGAGCCAGAACTCCCGGTCGGGTCAACAATATCCTGTTGCTCCACTGGGAGGCTCCATGAACGACAGACGGTTAAAGATTCGATACGAATGCGATTCTGAAATTCACATCAGTTGAAATAAAAAAAACAAATCACGTATCAAGGTGTAAGGACTAGACCGAGTACACTAAGTGGCGCTATGCACCTAAAAATGCTGGTTGTGACTGACTATTAAACCAAGACGTCAGGTGCCTCAAGCTCTTGTCTGGAGTTGTTTGTCTAAAAAAAAACGTTGCGATAAAATTGTGTCGTGACTTGCGTGTATCGTTACATCTGCGATGTGCAACAGCAATAGAGTTCTGACACCGGCATCGAAATTATATTTGTAGAAAATTTTCTTCTTCTATGTTGTCGTAGGATTTGAGTTTTCGGGAATGTTCTTACACAACTTGAAGTTTTGTGTCACGTAATAAATTCTCATCTTTCTTAGATTTTAACATCAGACCCGGAAGAGCAGACAGACCAGAGTTTACCGGAAGATTCTTTGCATCTGCAGCCACAGACGCCTGTTCCAGGTACAACACCAACACCGAGTCCCAGTCACAGCTGGGTGACGTGCGTTCCTTCACTGGCCTGTAGGTGGCGCTAAGTACACTCCCATTATAATGGTGGTTCGTTTTATATTAAACCAATCCTGTTAGAACTTTGTCACCGAGAAGCGACAATATAAGCAAAAATACGATATGTATCACTATACGGGGGCAACGATACGATATATACGGCGAGTATATCGGTATTTTCTTACACACCTAACTAGTAAACACCGGGATACATACAAATCACGTAGATGGTCTACGTAGACTGTACTGATTGTACAGTCTATGCGTTTCCGACATTATCGGGCCCACATTAGCATAATTATATATTATCTGAAAAAAATAATTATCGTTTTTTCCTCCGATAATGAAAACCCGATAACAGTACGCCTGGGTTTCCAAATGATGTGTGCACTAAAAATAGTTTTGGGGATAAACAGCTGTATATTAAAGTGAAAGCCACTAGATGGCAGCATTGCAGCTAAAAAATTGAATTAATCCGTTTTAATAATCAGGCGATCGTGTGCTGAATGTTGTTGCCAGCAACTAGACCATATTGGTATCGGTTGATATCGGAATTGGAAATTGAGTGTTTGGACAATATCGGCAAAAAGTTAATATCGGACATTCCTGATGCTGACAGTTTTCCGAAAACTATTAAAAACAAAACAAAAAACCTCAATATATCGTATCGATGCCCCCTGTATCGTGATACGTATTGTATCACCACATTCTTGACCCGTCGATCGACTGTACAGTTAATAATTTTTGGTTGTGTGCGTCTGTCGTCGTCAGCCTCGTCGGAGAGTCGTTAGCCCTTCCCATCCTCTCAGCCCTCAGCCAGCCACCAGTCTCACCTCCTGTCTCCCTCACCGGCCGACATCAGCTCCTACATCCCTGCGCAGCTGGTCTCCACTGCCCAGTAGACGGACAGGGAATCGAACGCTGCTGTAAACCTGCGTTGACCTCTGGTGACCTCTGTTCCAAACCCTGCGGAGTTGAAGGTTTTTCCCTCTACTCTCCGACTCAAATTCCATAAAAACTGTACCAATGAACAAGGACTCGCTTTAACAAGGATCAGACACGAATGACAATCAACTGAAAATCAACACCGACAACGTACGTTTGAAATGTTTTACGAAATTGAAAAAGTGTTCCCCCTGCTGTTTTTCCCTTAAATGTAATTTTTCTTGTTCATAAAATATCTTAAAGTTCATTAAATTTTCAACTATTTGCAGTATTTGATTGGGGAGTACACAGTACTTTAGAAGGTTTTATGGGCCTTCACACTGGAAAGCTACCGATGCTACCTCCGTTAAGTTAAGTAGAAAAGTTTGACCAAGTATCCAGACTAGCCCGAACCAGACCCAGGATCGTGCACAAGAACCTCATACGCTTCCATTTTTTTTTATTTACTGCCTGACGTGTTTGCGAACAAAACTCCTGCGTTTGCTTTAAACGTGCGGAGAATGACGGAACAAAGATGTAAAATCCTGAAGTTTTGTGAGAAGAAATTTAGTTTTTAATGAGTTCAATCGTTTTCTTCACGCTTCTTCTTCTTCTGTTTTACTCCGGCGTTCGTGTTTTCCTGTTCTCCTTTCTCACCGGTGTTCTGAGCAGCCAGAGTAGAACCATCACGTTAAGGTTGCGATTCAAGGAGGGGCCCCGAAAATTATTAAAAACAAAAACAAAAAAAAAAACTCAATAAATCGTATCGGTGCCCCCGGTACCGTGATACGTATCGTATTGCCACATTCTTGACCAACTGTACAGTTAATAATTTTGGTTGTGTGCGTCTGTCGTCGTCAGCCTCGTCGGAGAGTCTGGAGCTCTATCCATCCTCTCAGGCCTCAGACAGCCACCAGTCTCACCTCCTGTCGCCCTCACCGGCCGACATCAGCTCCTACATCCCTACGCAGCTGGTCTCCACTGCCCAGTAGACGGACAGGGAATCGAACACTGCTGTAAACCTGCTTTGACCTCTGGTGACCTCTGTTCCAAACCCTCCGGAGTCGAAGGTTTTCCCCTCTACTCTCCGACTCAAATCTCTAAAAACTGTACCGATGAACAAGAACTCGCGTTAACGAGGATCAGACATGAACGACAATCAACTGAAAATCAACACCGACAATGTACGTTTGAAATGTTTTGCGAAATTGAAAAAGTGTTCCACTGCTGTTTTTATCTCACTTCCCTTAAATGTAATTTTTCTTGTTCATAAAATAAAAACGCACATTCAACACCATTTCCACTGCTACGCGGATGACACCCAGCTCTACCTCTCCTGTAAACCCAACTCCACCCCCCTCCCTCACCGCCTGCCTCTCTGAACTTAAATCCTGGTTCACTGCAAATTTTCTCAAATTAAATTGCAATAAAACTGAAATCCTCATTCTTGGCACCAGAACTACTCTTTCTAAAGTCAACAGCTTCGCCTTCACCATTGACCTTTCCACAGTTTCCCCCTTCCCTCAGGTAAAGAGTCTGGGTGTCATCCTTGACAGCACACTCTCTTATCAGGCTCATATAAACTCTTTAACCCGCACAGCTTATTTCCACCTCCGCAACATCAACAAACTCCGCCCCTGCCTTACCCCTCACACCGCCGCTATCCTTGTACACAGCCTCATCACTTCCCGCCTCGATTACTGTAACTCCCTCCTCTACGGCCTCCCCCAAAAGTCTCTCCATAAAATCCAACTAGTCCAAAACGCATTAATTACAAACTTCTGTTCACCTACATGGCCATCCATAATGTTGCCCCCCCCCCCCTGAAAGTCAAGACAAAAAGATGAGGGTTTTTTAAATAAATAAATAAAATTAAATCAGTGAAGTAAACATTAAACCTCACCTTCGTTGTCGAAACAATCACATTTTCCTGGTTCCTCATTGGTTTCAGTTTGAGTCTCGGAAATGTATCTAACAGAACCAGACAACAGAGCAGGTGTGAATGTTTATCGTCAAGAATGAAGAAGACTCCGGCTCCGGTGAAGAGGAAGGAAGTCGAGGAGTTACCTGTCCAGTAGATGTCCCAACTTTTTAGCGACGTGTCCCCGAAACCCTTGGCTAACTTGGAGCTCATTGCCGTCGTGTTCATGGACTTTGACAACAATACTGTAAACGTGATATTAATTCCATTAAATCATTAAAAAAAATTAAATTAACTTACTGACTCTAACAAGAGGAGAAATACGTACCGTTTAGACTCCTTCACACTGGCGCCATCTTCTGGAAAGACAGAAACATCGACGTTTTTGAAGCACTCTTCTCTCAAGTTTATATGTTCTACGCTCCACCTTAGGCGGGAGAATGATAGAGCGACAACGTAGGGAGGGGAAAAACAACATAATTACGTAATAAATTGTCGTAATAAAAGTGGACGTCAACTTTAACGACAACTCAGTTACAGCAACATCTTTTGACACCGAGTACGAACCAGTGAGAGTCGTTTAACTTCTTCACTAACGTCTTAAACCAAACTCAGAACTAAAAACCTAAAAGTTCACCTTTCTGTCCTGCGGCTGGGCTCTGCTTCCACACCGCCTCCCGACACCTGCGCACGGCTTCATCATCTTCCCTGCTGCTCGACTCGTCCGGAGCGCTAACCGTGTTTTTAACAGACGCCGCCATGACGGTGAACGTGCCCGGATAGAGCGGAGGATTCTGGGTAAAGTAGTTGTGTCCGCTCCGTGAAAAAGAGTTTGTTCGGGACTGCACGGCCTTTGGACGTTTTAAAAAATGTTTGTAAAATTAAAAAAAAAAGTATTTAACGACTCCCTTGACTTGTGTTGTTCTCTTGTTTAATTAATGAAATAAAATACGCATTTTAATTTCGATAACCATTAGCCGAACTGGAACAGAACGGTACCGGGTGTGACGTAACGGCGAAAGTCTACGTTCTTAAAATAATACATTTTAGTTTTGTAAGGTTTTTTTAAATTCTATATTTAACCTTTAAAAATTAAAACCTAAATTCAAGCACAAAACAATTTGTTTTTTAAGTTTCGGGTCCTTCGTGTATTGTAATCTTTATGCTAAAGGAAGTCAACCATGAAGCTAGTTTGTGCAAAACGTGATTTCCGGAAACAATAAATAATAATTAAAACTCAGTGAAAAGCGGTGGCCGTCGTCATAAACAATAAAACCCAGTAAAAATCGGTGGCCGTCGTTAGACTTTAATCAAAGTAAATGTCTACACTCTTAGTGGTAAAAATACCCGAAATTTTCCACTTTTTACAGCATTGATGTAAAAACCCGCGAAGGTTTAAAAAATATCAGCTGAAAAACCTTCGACGTGTTCATGATGAGACTACATAAATATATACACATTTATTTCCACGTTTATTTGTTGTCCTAGAAAAATCACGTTTTTATTATTATTTATGAAAAAACACAGAGGGCAGAAAAGTTCCTGAAAAACTGCTCACAAACGGAGTCCGTGTTCTTACCGGATTTGAATGGATCCACTTTTATTCATGGCATTCATAACCTGTTGGTGTCGCTCCTGTGTACTTTTTAGTGCAAATACAGAAAGCCTCGTTAATTCCTAAGGCTTTTGGAGGACTGTGATTTTTCAGACCAGAGTTTTTTGTTTTTGTTTTTTTTACCGAACTGTGAAGAAAAACTCAACAAGTGAAGAAACGCTGTGTACGAAATGTACTGTAGTGTTAAAAAATAAAATAAAAAAGGGGGGTTGTAATGTTGTCACTGCAAAGTTACCTAATAAAAAATATATATATATCTGACCAGATTCTGTATCTGCCAAGTAAAAGAGTAAGAAAATATCAACACACTGAAATATCGCAATATTTCGTTTCACGATATCGTATCAGATATTCTACAGTAGTGTATCGATTTTTTTTTTTTTTTTTTTAGTTTAACATGCGAATATTCGTGGTTGGTTCATCTTTGTACTGCATTTAAACCTCCAACTGCTACTTGAATGTACAGGTACTGCATGTATTTTCAAGTATTTGAGACTTTTTTCCCCCCATTTGTTTACGCAAAATAAAAAATTGAGCAATTATTCTCATTTGTTTCCCTTGTTATTCCCAATGTAGATCCCTCTGTTCCGATGTTAGTAACCTGATGTTCTGATGGAACAGTGGCAGAGTCTGCTACCATTTTGAGCGACAGAACCTCAACGATCAGTTGAGGATCAATCAAGTTTAGTTAAGAATGAGTTGTAAAAAAAATAAAGAATTCACCTGCCGTCCGTGACACAGTCTAACAATAGTTTCCTATGACTAACAATACTGCAACAATGTCTGGTCCGTTCTTGCGTCTCCAAACGGAAAATCTGCAACTATCGCACAGACAAAAGTAAGAAAAACAAAAAAACAAATTGAAAACAGCTACTTACTTACTTAAATAAATGCAGTGACGTCCGTGGTCGATAAACTTAACTGAGAAGAGATCTCCGAGTCGGCGGTGTCCCTAACCAGCAGAGACGGCGAGAAATGTAAGGCAACAGTAACATACGGGTGTGACGTCCTGTGTATATATATATATATATATATATATATATAT